GATCATATGAACAAGCCTCACAGGAGCTCTTTATATTGAGACAGTCGTGCTTAAAAAGCCATTACTTACGCTGTCGTATTCCAAATGTTGTATTACCAAGGGGCCGACAATACCTTGACTGCTTCAAATGAAATTCAGTGGAAAGCGTTTTGCGCTTTTTTGAACTGGTAGTCTTCATTATAACAATGTTGTTGTCATCGATTTGCATAACGATGACGAACCAAGAAGAGATGGAGATAATCTGCTCGACATCAGGTATCCTTTTTAGCTATCCACATTTCGATAGGAAATTTGCAGAGAATATAGATCCAATGTTCCCATATACATCTAATCTTGCAATGGTCGCGCCTTCGGCGCTCAATTACCCTGGATAGTAATTAATTCATTTACTTTTTGCAAAATGGGAAACACGTATTTAAAGTATGTCCCCGTTGAAATACTTGACATATGGGGAAGAAAATCTTGATTTTTATCAAACTCATTACCTCTATGATTCTATGTGTGCCTAACTTAAAATCTTTTCTTGTGACCATTTTTGTAAGGGTGGAGAATACAGTCAAATGATGAACATGGAAAGCTGAAACTTTCCATGAATATGACTACTGAGACAAAGGGTTCAATAAAAATGTTAAGTCTCCATACATCCCTCCCCTGAGGGAATTTTTTCGAGATGCGATATTTTGAAAAAAAAATTGTTGTGGCGAATTGGACGGAAATGAAAAAGTGAAATTTGGGACACGTATCAGTGACATAATATTATTGGGTTGAGGGAGTATTCAGCTTTCATAGGACATCCCCTCCGAGAATAGCTTTTGGGTGGGTCGGCTTTCCCAAACATGTTTTTTCACCAGCGAAAAGGGCAAACGTATAATATTGAAACTCTGTGGGCATGCGGTTCACATGTTGTGGGTATGCGATGGAATTCGGTATTTTGGCTTTTTGGGTAAAACAGCTCAGGGCACGTACATTGCAAAATGGGTATTTTCCCGAATTTTCTTATCCAGGAAAACGGAGGGCGCTAGAAAGCATAAACCTGGCAAAAAAGTACCTAGTGGATACCTGAGGAAAGGAATAAATTATACTTTTATTACATATAGACGATCGTAAGTAGCTGACTGATATAAGTAGATATTTGCATGCTGAGTTCAGGAAAAATTATACTTTGGTGATACATGCCATTGCGGCACAGCTTTTCGGGGTACATATTTTCAAATAGTTCTCTTTGCTTCAATCAAATGGAGACACATGGAAAGCTGAAGCTTGGCAAGAACGTGACTGCTGACGCATTGACCTCAAATGTCTAATTTAAAATTTCCGAAATATTTTTGTGGTTCATATTTCTTGGGGACGTTACGTTTTCAAATAAGTTTTCCTATCCTAGCGAATCGGGCAGAAATAGAAAAGTCGCTGGCGCACGCATAACGGACGTGATGTTGATTTAAGGAAAAATTCAGCTTTTCAGTGGGTCGCTTTTCCAAATGCATTTTTTTCTGCCGCCAGCAAAAGGTGGAAAGGTATAAGGCTGACACTGGGTGGCATGGAGTTCCCTGAGCCTACATTTCAAAAGAAAAATAAAATTCGTTAAAACCCATCAGGGCACTTTTTTCAGTCCTATTCTCCTGATATTTTTTGATCCAATGAAACAGAGACAGACGATATAATCTTCCCTAAGAAGTATCTATTTCATGGCTGAGTACAGCAAAAATGCTACTCTTGAAATATGTTTCCTTAGCGTAGGTTATAGGAAGAAAGTATTTCAAAATGTATTCTATATCCTTACAGAAAGGGACACATGAAAGGATTTCAAGTTAGGCAAAATGGAAATCATAGAAGTAATGATTTTCGTATTTTGTGACAAGACGTTTGTCCCCATATGTCCAGTATTTCAATGGGGATGTGCTTTAGATATGATACGTGTTAGCCATTTCGCAAATAATAAATGAATTAATCACTATCCAAGGTAACGTGCGCCGAAGGCGCTACTATTGAGAGTTTGTCTGCCGGAAGGGCAAACAAACTCCCTATTAGGTCATAAAGTTGAGATTGATTCGTTGCCTTCAGTTAATAACAAGAAACACATTTATTTGTGGAGAGAATCATATATGAGAAACACCAATTTCTTTTTATATATAGTGACTTTTAGGTTGCAACATTTGACCGAACTCTCAAGATGAGCTTCGTGAAAGTAGCATAAATGATATAGGACTAAGGCTGATGTCTTCACGATTGGCGTATTTTTCATTACCACCAGCAACCCAAGCAGCATGTTTACATGAACATTATATCATTTTTTTGCGAACAATGTAAAGTTATTGCGATTACCATGAAAATGACATCACGTTTACACAAAACTTACGTTCCTAGATTTACATCACCAAGGTTTACGCGTATTTTACATAAACTAAACGTTACTCCATCTGATGCGAAGTACATGATATCAAGTTTATGCAAAATTAATATCACACCATCCATATGAAACTTAAGCCGCCTATCCCGCAGAAGCAGTACCAAGATTCTTCCAAGATATCTGAATGTATTCTCCACCCTTACAAAAAGGGACACAATAAAGGATTTCAAGTTAGGCACACATAGAATCATAGAAGTATTGATTTTGATCTAAAAAAAAACATGACTTTCTACCCCATATGTCACGCATTTCAATGGGGACGTACTTTGATAAGTGTTCCCCATTTCGCAAAAAATGAAGAAATTAATCACTATCCAAGGTAATGGAGTGAAGTGAAGGACAAAACTGTTGTAATGTTCGACACATTGCCATTTTATGACTCACATCTCGAGTATGACGTGTTTAATTTAGCTTAAATTTCCGTCAGTTATACTCTTACTTCCTGGCTTTTCGATTGGCGCTAGTCACATATCAATTGGCCTCCTATTGTCTAAGTGGCAGTTGTTCAAAGCGAAAGAGGTCCTTGCAATTGTTTTGTCCCTTTCACTCAGGCATACGAAAAAACGAATTTATTATTACTATGTGTGCTTGCCTTTGGCCTTCAACAATGCCTGAACCCTTCTAGGCAGGCCTTCAATCAAATGCAAGCATGTTTGGACTGGAATTTTGTCCCACTCAGTCTTGACCCGCTGCCATAGCTCGTAGATGCTGACGGGCTCATTTTCGTACCTCGCCACCATCCGCTTCAAATGTTGCCATAAGTGCTCTATTGGGTTGAGGTCTGGCTACTGTGCTGGCCATTTAGGACCTCGATTCCATGGTCCTGGAACCATTGGCGAGCCAGCCGCGAGGTGGGTTTCGGATCATTGTCCTGCCGAAACACCACCTCTCCCACTTCGAGGCTTCGCCTGGCTGTTTCCATGTCCAATCACGCCCATCCGACCTCATAAGGTTGATTTTAGTCTCGTCTGACCAAATTATACGTTTCCAGTCCTCTACAGTCCAGTGTTGGTGGCGGCGGGCGAATTCTAGTCGCTGTCGGATATGCAGCAGCTGGAGTTGCGGCTTCTTTTGCTTGGCTATTGCCCTCAGAACAGCTTCTTTCAGTGCTATGCGAACAGTTTTGGCACTGCATTCTACAGAGTTGCTGCTTTTGAGCTGCCTCGTCCCTCGCACTGTTGTGTCAACCTGACCCGATGTCACCCTCCTGATGACTCTGCGCTTGTCGGCGGCGGAAAGCTTGGATGGACGCCCACCATTGCTCTTTGATGCGTCGGGTTTGACTTGAGAACGCACCCGGGATACGAGTGAGGCGATGCTGTCGCGAATTTGTTGGAAAACAGGTTTCATGTTGCCAGGAACGTTCAAATGGAACCCAACCCCACCCAAGCCTACCACATCTACACCTAGGCAAGCTACAGATTTGCTTAGGTGGCTTCTGGCCAGGTTTCATTTGGGAAATGGGAGACTATTGTGGGTTTTTTATATATTGGATGGAAAGCATGGGACGTAGGGACAAAGGTGTTGCAATGACTTTCTTAGCTTTCAACAGCTGCAGTTCATCCAATAGGGGACCATTTGACATGTGACTAGCACCAATCCAAAACCAGGAGTTTTAAGTATGATTGACTGAAATTCATATAAAATTGAACTCGTCATACTCGAGTTATGAGCCATAAACTGGCAATGTGTCGAACATTGCAACAGGTTTGTCCCTCTCTGTACCTGTATATATTTTCCATTTCAAGTCTCTATAATATTTTACCATGACGCAACGCTAACGTGATAATGTTATTTGGCCAATTTTCATAGAGTTCTGCCTCCAGGTTTCCGAAAAATTCAATTTTGAATATAATTCGAAAGTTGTGCTTACGCGCGCCTATTTTTCATCTATGTAAGACACGATTTTCTTGATGAATTCCTTTTTTATCATGATTCGGAATAGATCCGGCTTCTCAAATGGCACAATGTTTTAATGGAAACTGGAAGTGAAAAAATTCCTGACATAAAACGGCGATTAGCAAGACGCTCAGAAAAAGATGTCGACTGCATTCAGGAATTTCTTGAACTGTCTTATGGTTCTGGTTCAAAGTACTTTAGCTATTCCAGCTGATGCAGATGGACCTCGTTCAAAATGTTCATGATTGCGGTTGACATTTTCTTAGTGCATTCTTATTCGCTCATTTCCGTCCGCATTTAGCACGCTTCCAGTTCCCATTCAAGCATTGCTACTGAATAATGCCCATACGAGAAGGGGGATCTTGACCGAATTCTGCACACAACTTTCGCTGAACAATCACGGGGTACGAACTCTTCACTACTGCCCATCACCAACATTAGCATTCCCTTTCATTCACCGAAAACGACATAAAAAATAATAAAAAGTACCTTTCAAATAGACTTTGGGCTTAATAAACAGCACCAATGAAATGCACAAATACCCAGCATGGTGGTCACAGGAAATTCAAATTTCTCGAAAACCTCAATTTATAGATGAAAAATTAGCGCGAAAGTGCAAAGGTTACTAGTTAGAGTAAACCTTACATTTCTCGTAATCCTCGGGGTAGAACTCAATAACAATTGGTCAAATAAAATGTTAAGGTAAGTACTACTTGAATTTAAAATATTATTGAAATTGGTAGAAAATTAACCCACGCTATAGCGAAAAAAAAATCAGAATATACTTAAATGGGTCACACTCTTCATGGAATACTCAGTATTTGAAAAAATGTGAAATATTCAAGTTATGGCGCAAGTTGAAACTTTAACGCCCGTTATGAAACATAATTGCATGGTTTTACCTCCCTAACATAAAAAGATTCCTCTCTGCAAGAATAATTGGAAACTTAAGATGAAGTTGCAGTTGGAGTTTGAAATTATTATTTGTCCCGTGCCTATTTAACCTCTTCAAACGTGCTAATTGAGTTGCATGATTCGGTTCATCAGAAGAAAAAACAATATCAGCTTATAGAGACATGAGGTTGTCCATTTTACCCATTCAGATGTGTTACATTGACATGAAAATATGAAAACTCAAACTCATGCCGGTACTTATACTTTTCAAAGTAGCATATCCGTGGTGACGTTTCCATTAAGGGAAATATACAACAGTAGGAAGTTTATATTTCGCTCAGTTTTTGAGCTGTCCAAACATTTAATGACGTTTTCCATGAAATATATGATATCCGCATTCCCATGACAGTCCTTTAATCACATACTACTTTTGCATTCGCTAGCAAAGTTTCCTAACGATCATGATATATCTCCTTTATTTTGGTGCAACATATAAACATGAGCTAGATTTCACAAATGCCACATATTATATGGCTTTTCATAAACAGAATAACGCGATATTATCCTCATTCTTCTTTCGGTCAGTTCATGTTAATTTTTGTTTACTTTCTACTTTTGAAGATTTGGAGCCCCACTTTATGCCACTCCGGTTCTGGACAAGGAGACAACAGACTTCCATTTTCTCACTGAACGTGAATTGGATATTTTGGCTAACAAACCAAATTTATACTTGATGGAAGTAGAATCTGAGCTTGAAGAAATGAAATTGATCACTGAGAAAGTTCGGAACATAATAACTGCATGGTCCTCCCGTAGACAAACCAATGAATCGGAGACCATTCTCATTATTGGTCACAACGAAAGTGCCATAGAAAAGCTGAAAAACACAATGCCTGAATGGATCGTGAAATCTGCAATGGATACCTACGCTACATGGACAAACAAATCTCGGGAAGAGATGATGCAAAGGCTTCAGGTCGTGCTTCAAAAAAGTCTCACATTTTGTACGATAACTCAACAAAACCTCGCGAGTGAACAAATTGGAAACAATGGGGGAAATTCTCTCAAGAAATCCACACTTAAAACTGAACAAAACACCGATGAATCCAAAATTCGACGTATCACATTTATATCTAAAGAGGACTGGAAAGAAAAAAACATGAATTGTGGCGACCCCAAGGAACAATCTGATGAAGAATCTTCGTCTGTACAAGTCCTAGACATGAAGGAACTGCTGAAAAGAATCGTGGACATGTTGCATGCAAACTTCATTAGCGCAACCTCCCCTCTTGAAAAAGTGAATGTCAATGCAGAATATGAGAAAACCACATGTTTTGGTGATTCCTATGTAAAATCAAAATTTGGCATTATGTCCAGTATTTTGAGAAAGCCTCACAAATGTGGAGTTCACTCCATTCTTCGAGATGACTCTATATGTGAAAAGGCTCGCGACGTGAGGTGTGCAAATGATAAAGAATATTTGTCTGGGGAGGAGTCCATAGGATCGAACAGAGAAATGAAGAACCTGTTCATGGTGGTAGGAAAAGTATTCCATTCTAACAAGGGACATGACACTATAGAGAACATGAAGGATGAGAAAATTCAAAAAGAGGGCATGGATGCATTCGATTGCCGAAATAAACTTCGCCGCAGATCGATGGGTTCTATTACAGGTGACAGATCGACAACAGGTTTGGAAGATTCCATGAAAATGATCGAACGCCTCATCGGTGGATTATGTTTTACTAGCCAAGGGGCTTGCGTTGTTGAAAATTACTTTCAGATAATGCATAGATCCGAGAAATTATCTGAGAGAGAATCTTCAAATTTGAGAGAGTGTTTGGAACTAAATGAAATAAACAAGCTTGTTCCAGTCGTTCGGGAAAAATTTCATGCTGACCAAGGACACGAAAGTAAAGATGAAAGCAGAAATAGAAAAAATCCTTCCACCAAAATGAACTATTTGCCTTGTGATGAGAACGATGATAACACTAGGAAAAAGTGGGAAACTTCAAGACGGGTAATGAAGTTGCTCTTACCTCAGTTGCAAGGAATCCAGAAGGATGGGCAGAGGTTTAAACACATTTTTGTGTTTGGGTTTCACGATTCCTGCCAAAATGATATGGATACCTACTTTGAAGTCCTCTGCGAGCTTCATCTTAGTCATACGCACGGAAATTTTTGGCTTTTCAGTCAGGGAAAAAATATCCCAGGAAAGTATCAGGCAAGACTCAATCGCTCAAATCGAATTGCCGGTGAGAAATCGAAATTAGATGCCTACCATTAGTTGGCCCGTCGAGTTAACATTAATTATTCAAAAAGGCACGAAATGAGACATTTCAAACCTCTTGCAACATAAGTCGTTCGAGAACTTCAAAATTGTCCAATCGCAGTTAAATTAACGACTTTGCCATGCCGGTATATTTCCTATAAATATAATTTCTACAATGGACGTAATTAGCAGAATGTAATCCGGAATGTGTGGCTGTATGTACATGGTTATCACAAAGTCATTACCCTGTTTAGATTGGCTAGATTTCAATGAATAATCAGATTCAGCTGATATTTGGAAGAGAGGTTCATAAGTCCAGGAAGTTTTTTCCTTGCCGCAAGATGCTGCTGCATCCCTATAGATGGCGTTGATGTCAACTGCAGTGCCACCTATTTACTTGGTATGTCATTCTATAAGCATGAGGAAACAACTGTTTAGGTCCATGAATCTCTTTGCCAAATATCATATGCATCCGAGAGTCCTTTCAAAATATATGGTCAAGCGATGTTGTATTGTGACTTGGAAAAGTCGATATTTGGTCATAACTTTTAATGAGTAGTCAGATGCTGCTGATTTTTAACAGTCTTTTTGTTCGTGGGTCTGTGACTTATTCGTTCCCTTGTCTGGCACATGATTTTACATATGACATGGGGCGCTGTGATTGTATATGTGAAGGTGAATTGTAAAGAGGCAACAGGGCTCTGTTTACAGGGTTTCTATTTTGGAAAGACGTAGTAACAGCATATCAACGAGAGATGTTGTTGCACTGAGAGTTTCACCATCTTTTCATGGGTGGTTGAAATTACTATAACATATTCCTTTTTTGTTTACCCAATGCCTATTATCCATTTCTTACCCTTGCTAGTGGCAACACAGCACCACCTGTCAACATGCACATCCTTGCTCCGGGCAAGGGAACGAACAGGTCATAGACCCATGAATATCTCTGTCAAATATCAGCTATACCTGACTATTCCTTTAAAATATATGGCATAATAAAGTATTATAGGAATCAACCGAATGGACGTGAGAATATGACAATATTATTCTTCATTCCTGGCTACTGCATAACGATTCCCATTCCATGTTTGCATATGAAGTTAGAATAGAACATCTGCTTGTCGTACATTAGTCATGGGAACGTTTTGCTATCCCATACAAGTACAGCTGGGGCATCAGCGATAGAAGACAGTAACATTTCCAGTTGTCATGAATGGCACTCGTCAAAACCGTGCTGCTCACCATGAAAAACGTATTATATTCTAATGCAAGAACCCCAAATATCACTATCACAACTTCGACAGTTCTGGAAATATAACAACTTTGATTGCAGGTTACGTTATGGAATATAGGTTGCATGGTAACAGTCTATTGAATGACTGATCGAGGATAAATTAACATCATCCATTTGCAGGAGTAAGCAACTTCTTCAGAAGGAAGTCTGCGACGGAATCAAACTGGATTCATCAAGCCCAAGAATACATTATGGAAAAGTATCCTGCTTGGGAAACTGCAGAAACAACTTACCTGGTTCCAAAAGTTGAGGACAAAGACGAATGGATGAAGACAGCCAAGACTCCTGGCGTGAAAGCCGAGAGAGCACTCCTTCTTCGCCTTAACCAGCTGGGCCAAAGAAAGAAGATGCCAATGTTCATCACATATAACCGTGAGTTCGTCCACCTCTTCGAGACGGGACGCACGGGTGATGGGATTGAGAGTCACATCTTGACGGGAGAACATGACATCATATTGATACATCGCACTTTTGGACTCATATGCATAGAAGTTCAAAATCTGGATTCTAAACGACCAGGAAAGAAGTTCAGGGATGCATTGAAAAGGAATATCAGGGCCGCTAAGGCAAAGCTCCAGGACGGCGATCGTAACCTGAGCATCATTGCAAGAAAATGCGGTTTCGGGGACATGAGAGCGTCTATTACCGTAATCGCACTTACTAATGTTGGAAGAGCTCAGGTTGAAGGGGGACATGTCAGTGATATAGTTCTTCTCTGCAAAGAAGAGTGGCAGTCAGTGGAGGCCATCGAAAGATGGTGGCAGAAGAACATCCTTCTGACACATATACAACATTCTGCGATTGATTCGAGGGAGTACCTTCAGCTTCTGGCAATGTAAGTTCTTTCCAGGATATGTACGAGATGTTGCACGAAATAATGACAACGATGTGGACGAAAAGGCCGAAAAAACAGGGACGGCCCTTTTTCAGCGTGACATTTTTCATTTTCTTCCCCCTTCAACAATTATGGCTAATAAAGAAAAAATATATTAGGCACACAGTTGTTCGGCGTTTGAACTCAGGAGAAATATTTTTTGTTCGTCTATTCCCTCATGGCGACTTTTCGGGTGGAATTATTGTAATATATGTATTAAAAAATTTTTGTTGAAGCACAATTTAAAAAAATAGAAACTTTACACTGGGTAAACCTGTAGTTTTGTTCCTGGAGTTCTGGTTTCAAGGAAAGTACAACTTTCAAGATAAACTCCTCAAGACAATCTTTCGGCGAAGTAATTTCAGACACAGTTTCATTCTAGTTAACAAGAATATGTTGCGAGCTGTAATTCAGTAATGGTGTAATACTAAGAAAATTAAACCAAAATAAATTATGTATAATATATATCCCATCGTGGCGAATCTTTTTGTGGGGTGGAGGGGTTATTTCTAATATTTGGCCCAACGAAACAAATACATAAAAGTTACTTGCAATACTCGAGTAGTTTTTTCTATACAGATTTAAGTATATTTCTGCGGCGTGATTCATTACCTCAGATCCCCAATCCAGAAAGGTAATTATTTAGACGTTTTTTGCTTCATCAAAACGGGGAAATAACATTTTAAAAGTATCATTTTGCATCTATATACACTACTTCTCTAAGTAGAGATATTAAATAAAATGTTTATATATGTGGTTCATCCGCCAATAGAACATTTTAGGTGTAGCTTTTCCACAAGTACATTTCCGTTTCATATTAACTTGCAAATTCTGGACTCCTATATAAAAAATGTGATACGCTTGAAAAATTAAAGTAAAAAAAATGTGCAAAAAAATGTTGTCAAAGTTGTCCCTCTCTTCAACCCCGAGATCAACCTCAACCTCACCTCATCTTCCCCCTTACTTCTCTGGAAATCCCTAAAGTTAGGCCTAAGCCTAACGGGCGAACCGTCTTCAGGTCAGGCCTTGGCGTACCTTTTTCGGTGCTAAAGAAACCCAATCTTCAACTTACTGGGCGGATTTAGGCGGATAAGGATGATATATGAATGCGGGAACTTCTGATAATGCCAAGAATGACTGCTACCCACTGCCTCCCCTTCCCTTCCTCAGCTGATGTCCATGAATAAAAAAGGGGGCCCTATTCTTTTTTACCATTTTTGTTCACCTTGCTTTCACTTCTTTCACCCAGGCGACTATATTTGCCCGCGACGAAATAGTGCAACGACCAAAAGTGCATGACACCTTTTGTCTACGACGAACTTTCCGCGACCATTTTGGCCTCAGCGAAAACGCCGGTGACCCCTATGCAATACTTGAAACTGTGAAACCTTGAAGAAACTATCCATTTTAACCGTCAGACTTGTCATATCATTGTTCGTAACTTTGATTTAAGTTAATGGATGACAGCCTTCTAGATTTTCAAATGAATGAAGACATGCTGCATCCTTAGGAAATGTTGTGTGCTATGAATGAAGTATATCTTCAGATATACTCAACATAGTGGGTCATTTTTGTCATACTCTGCAAACGCAAACTGACGTTAGCAAAGGGAAATTCTGGATGTTATTAATTGGGAATAGCTCATGAAAATCATCTGCGAGAGATGACGGGCCCAAATAATGTATTTACATGGAAGATGACTTCCACTACACCTGGATGACTAGGAAATACAACACTACAGTGTTTCCTTCACTTCACCAATAAGAGCTCCAGTCAATTCTCAATGTCAAACAAATTTTCGATAATCGCAGATGATTTTGCTTCAGCTCAAAAGAATCGGATGAAATTATGAGAATACGTTGGAATCATACCGATGTATGATTACTAGAAGTTTAGGAACATTGTAAGCATTGTGAGCGGCGATATTTAGTTTAAAAGCAGTGTCCTTTTTGTCATTCCCATTGTATGGTTATAAATAAATAAATATTTATTTCCTAGATATATTGCACCGGTGTATGTGAACACAGCCTACAAAGCAAACATGATAACCCGGAAGCTAAAAGGTATCATAGAAGACAAACTGGAGATACTGGTGAATACGCAAAAATATGCCGTCTTCAAGGGAGCAGCTGGAACTGGCAAAACATGGCTACTCCAAGAAAAAATGCGGAAAACTGTCAGATCTTGGTTCTCCCATGGATGTGTCTCGGAGAAGAATGAGAATATAATTTTCCTCTGTGTCACTCCCCTCTTGGCTTTGCACATGCGTGATATCCTTCCCGATGTCCTTTTAAAATCCGCCTTGGATAAGCTCTGCAAGTGGAACGATGACCTAGAGGAAGAAAGTAAGAAGCAAAGGGTACGGAAGATTCTACAAGATAATCTACTCATCTGCTGCTTGGACCCTGTTATGATGAGAGCAACGATACATAACTGCGAAGGGCTGAACACCCAGAAAAAATCAACAATCCGAGAGGACAAGACGGAAAGTCATGAGGAATTCATGTATTCCAGTATCACCTTAAATATTAGATATGCCACCTGGGAAATATTCCTGTTTTTTGAGTTTCTTCGAAGCTCTGTGGCCTCGCTCAAACCAGAAGCAATGGGAAGATGGCTGCTGAAAGTGGAAATCATCAGAAGACTCTTCCATTCTTTCACACCGACATCTGAGGCATTGAACTATTTAAAATCAAGTATAGAAGTTATCGTATTAAACGAGGGCAGCGTTTATCAGCTTTTTTTCGATGGGCCGGTTGGCAAATCAATGGTGGGAATCTGTAACAGGATATCTGAATGCTATGCCCTTTTGACAAAGCTGCCTGAAATTATTCAGCATAATATACTGAAAGATATGGAGAAGATCCTCAAGACTCAGGAGCCCCCATTCGACCATATATTCGTGGACGAAGCGGAAGACTTGTGCTTATATTACAACGATCACTGGTGGACATCGCTACACTGCCTCAACAAAGGAAACGGTGGATTCTTTTGGCAGGTTTATGACCCACTTTACTTGAAAAATACTCCCGATTCCCTGAAAAAAGAGGTGGAAGGAGCTCACTCGCTACTCGTGGTCTATCGAAACCCAGGATCCGTGTTTCGCACTTGGACTCAGGAGCATCTCTCACTTGCGAGAGACAGCGACTTGGTAGATTCTTGCATAGGTGTCCCTGGGTATGGTAGGGAAGAAATCCGATTGGGGCACGATCTACAGGGCCCCAAGGTAGAAAAATTTCGAGTTTCTAGTTCCAGTCTCTTCGAGAAAATTCAAGGTATCCTAGGAGACGAATTTGGGCGGCGAACATACTCCGGAGACATTGTCGTCCTTTTCGCAGATCATGCGGATTTCCATGTACACGGAGAACGATTACGGAAGAACATAGAAGGAAGAGCAGGGAAATATTCCTACACTGGGTGCGTTGCTGTTGAACTTGCTGGGTCCTTCAAAGGAAGAGAGGCAGCCGTTGTCTTCCTGATAATCAACGGAAGAACGAGGAGAAGGAACGAGTTTTACCTAGGAGCATCGAGATGTACTTCCCACCTCTTTATTCTCGTACTGGAGGCCAGCAAAGAAGAAGACGAAGCTGGAGAAAGGCAACTCTTCAATTTCATCTCCAAACTCTTGCCGGATGATGTCTCAGAGGAAGACCAGGATGCCCTTGAAAGAGAATGGCGTCGCACATATCTCATGGAAGCCCCATGATGAGCAACGAAAAGACATGTCCTGGGAAGGAAGTGATGGAAGGGAGAAATCTCCCATGGCACTTCCAGAGACAGTGGTTCACTAGTCCTCAATGAAGTGACCTTCGAGGAGAAATATTGATATAATTCGTCTTTCATTAGAAACTGATCGGAGATGAATGTTAAAACCCCAGTGTTCCATCTATTTTAACCACATCACTGGCGCAGTCGATTTGGTATCGTCTCAAAACAATTTGTGTCTGAAAACATGTCAGTGAAGTGGGTTAACTGATTGAAACACTCGAGCATCCCCAAGTAAAAGTCAATAGATCGGGCGAACTTTCTACGTGATCCAATCGATGAATCACAATACTCAATACGAACCATTTTCTTTAACTTGAGCATTCCCTGCGGCTCCAATAGTTTTTACCTGTACTCTTAAACTTCGAGGTTGATATGAAACATGTTTTTATTTGAACCTCTAAATTCACAATACTTGTAACCTCGCCAAAGCAAACCATAATTGAAACGAGGGAAATGCTGATTCTTGCCAAAAAAAAGGCTGTCGAATATGATTCCCTGGGGCTCAATAATTAGTGTGTTTTTCAGCTCGGGTCGCCGCTTCGCTCTTACAAAGCCAACTTGCAATGTGACAGACTTGAGATATTCTGTGGGCTCATTGGTGCTGTCGCATTACTTCGTACATCAATACCAATGTTGCTTGTTTCCTGTTTCCTCCGATCAATGACCGGAAACTGGACATCTAGTCATTAGTGTTGAATGAATATATATTTATTTTTACCCCCTGAACAAATGAGGAAAAATGTCATCCGTGTTTGGATGAAACTGGATGTTTTTTTACATCATTGACACAATAACCTACCAATTATGATATATCGCATGAGCATAAGTGAGTGGCTGAAGCTGCAAAGTAATGAAGGCCTACTTTTAAACTCTTAAACCTGATCTAGTATGGCATATTGCCAAAATAACTGCTCTTGAAATTTGGTGGTTTTTTTATTGGACTCATGGATAGTACCCAGTCAAGGCAGATGGATCATCGCGACTTCATAATCGGTACCTCGTTTTTAAATTAAACAATTGACATTGTTGTAGGAAGAGAGAACCTTGAGCACTTTCCTACCCTCAATATTGAGAATTGAAGTATTCTTTGTCTGTTTCCATTTGATGCTATGCAAATGGTCACTTATCACTCTTGCTCCTGACGGAGAACAAAAATCATATCGAAAGACCGGCCCAGGAAGATAACGGCCTTCTGTCCATTCGGTCATTCGTTTGCTTAGTACGAGTACATGAACATGGCAAATGGATGATGAATCCAGATTTGCCTTCTATGGAGTTCGGAAAAATGATAAAGACGATGAGAGGGTGACACCTTCTTGCACACTCTTAACTACAGTGGGAATTTTGGCTTTCACCCTATTAGGTGATGACGAAATCATGTCACTTTACCATGTCTCTTGATATCTTAACATTTCTGGAGATATATTGATAGGTTCAATATTAATCATTCAAAATTGACCTACATGATTCAGGAGTTGCATGTCATGCAAGGATATTGTTACTTCGCCTTCGACCGTATCAGCATCTGGATGCTTTCCAATACGATCTCCTGGAATGATCACTAAATCAATTTATTTTCACAAAGAGAGATCAAAAACTTTCCCAAAAAGAGGAAAGCTACTTGAATTGTATGAAACCGATATCAACCAAAGTTAAACCACTTATCGACGTACTCCCCCTCTAAGTCTCAAAATTCGGTCGAGCATTTACAGTCGAACAAAGCCTCCGAAAAACAGCAACAGGCTGGTGCTTCCACCAATCCTGGACAGATTTATTCAGATCTTCCCTGATCTCCAATTGTGTGCCTTTAATCGCTTACTCAAGTTGCGGAAAATTATGGAAGTCACTCGGATCGGGATGAAGGGGATATGAAAGAACCTCCCAACCACGCTGCGGAATTTCAATATTTATTGGCCGTATGTGGACGCGCTTTCTCGTGTTGCAGAAGAACGCCTGAAATGAACATTCCCCATCGCTTTCAACTCATCGCTAATCAATCTCAATCTCAGGGCTAATCAACCACAGACCAAGCTCCGTTTGAACTCCTGTTGAATTATTTGCTTTTCTTCCTTCACGATCTTAGGATTTTGTGTACTTCTCACTTGCCACGTTTCTAACTTCAACCTATAGAACTCAAAAATTTGTACCCATGCATGCAGAGTAGTAAGTTCCAATGTTAGTGCGTTTGATGCTCTTCCTTTTTTTTCCATTGGAGCTTCTAGATTATTCGTTTCTCTTGGAGTAGCTCCACAGATGTAGCATACCTGTGCTGAACATGTCACGTAAGGCATTGCAAACCTCCCATCCACCATGGTGAGCATCAACATTTGTGTAACCTGAAGCTTCGCTCCTGCGATGTCCACAGTTGTTCCTTAGTAGGTCATAACATTGAATCAATATGGATTCCAAGTTGAGTCAAAATTGAATCAATGTTGATGCAATATTAAGTGCTACTAGGGTTATTGAAAGGTTTTCAATTTTTCTTCGAATGGAATTCAACTCAGCTATAGCAACATTAACCGATACCTTTGAAACCTGGAACATATTGTGTGACAATTTATTTGAGCTAGGTCGTTGATTCTGCCAAATTGGCAGCGGGTGGACTCCTCCAACTGGATCCTCCTGATGAACTAGCATCTGGAGAGGCACCAGTGTTGATATTAATATGCTTTTTCCGCTGAATTTCCCTCCGTTTCAAGGTATCGTTGTTTGTGAACACTCTGTCCAGTGACGCCATCAAAACCCCATTTCCTCATTAGGACGATCTTTTCGATTCTCTTGAGCTGTAAGCATTCCAAGACAAATCGTTCAGAAAGTAATGTGCGTTCTGTTGTATGATGAAGGAGATCGTGAAGTTTAACTTCGCCTGTAGTCTCAGTAGCCACGACTCAATAAGGGCAACAAGCCTTTTTGGCCCTCAATACTTCATGATAACTTGGATGAATGTCAGCACCTCTAGTATTGGCATAAAGACGAATGAGTCCATAAGTCTTGCCAATGCCAAATTCTATTATGAGAGCCAAGGCTTCTTTCTTCGTAAAAGCTACAACTCCTGGGTGTTTTATAGATTCCAACAAGGCTTGTCTATTCGGTGTGGCGCTTTCAGGACATTAGTCAAAAGTTCTCTGAATGTATACAGATATGTAAACATACTCTGCTTATCTGGTTCCTTTAACAATTGATCTCTAAAAATATGCATTCTTGTTCTACAATTTCTATTTTCACAGGTTAAAATGTTCTTTCTTTAAACTCGCTATCTGGAGCTGGCTGGTTATCATGTTCTCCTTTGTGAATCGCTTGTTTCGATGCAGTACCTTATACGTGTTTTTCTGTGCTTCAATGACCTACATCTCGTCAGGGAATGGTACAGTAGGCAGATGAAATGAGCTGTGAGTTGCAAATCCTCAGGCTTAAGTACGGTATGCTTTTTTCCTCCAACTGCTATTTGATTTCTTATCTATTTTTAATGATTTGTTTAGCTTAGGGGCGTCTTTACAGAGTAGTAGGTGTCTCCATCAGGGATTTTTAGCAACAGGAGAGTTGGGGTGAGGAGGATTTGTAAGGGGGGGGCGGGCAAAGAGGTAAATGTTTGTTTTCCCTTTCGTTGCCTCCCTCTTCCCTACCAATAAATTTCAAAATGGCCATTAACCCTTCAAAGAAAACTTTCAAATTCCTCTTGCAAATAACTCGCCGAAAGCAAAAGGCGTGTGAACGTATAAACTTCCTGAAATGGTTCCAATGGTCAATTGGCAATGGATGGTTATGTTAGCTGTGTGTTCGTTGACAAGGTTATTTCAAAATCCTACTGGGTCGACCTTAGGTCGATTTATTGACCTCCAAACACGATTCCAATGTGCATGTCAGCACTATCATGCATAGCTAATTTCCTGTGTGTCGAGTATTTT